CAGTTAAAATGCACACATCCTTTAGAAGCTGTCTGAGAGATTGACTTTACCTGATATATTTAAGTAAGGATCATGATGATCACAGGTCCAACCCAGACCCCTGAATGTGGTGTTAGTTAGGAGGACTGGGCAGACTATGGGGCCTCTGGTAATGGATCAGTATTTATCCCTAGTGTACAAATGGTCTTTGGGGGCCCATCCCACATAGGGGGATACTCTCTCAGCCTAGACACATGGGGGAAGGCCTGGGTCCTGCTCCGAATGATGTGACAGACTTTGAAGATTCCCCCATGGGAGGCCTCACCCTCCCTGGGGAGCAGAAAGGGGATGGGCTGGGGCTTGGTGGGGGGGCAGAGGAGGAGAGGAAACTGGGATTGACAAGTAAAACAAGCTTGTTTCTAATTTAAATAAAAAAGAATCACAGTGATCTTAGCGGCTTTGATAGCATTTTTGCCTTCCTGTTAACCATGCTTTTGTTATGACTGCCTTCAAATCAAAGCCTCGTGTTTTACTTAAATCAAATCTTCATGCTTTAGATCTCATTAATAATTCAGTTAATCTCATCAATGATTCAGTTAAATACTCACAGGACAGTTCTATGTGCCAAGTTCTAACAGTTCTAACCCACCACAGCTGACTGCACAAACTGTGTTAAAGAATAGCTTCTTGTTATTTGGGACAAGCTGTCATGTGTAGCTGTACCTACATACATACATTCATATGCACATACACACAGTTACAAGGGAATGCATACACAAGCATGCATACTTGCCTATGCACATGAACACATGAATTAAAAAAAAAAAAGTCGGGATTAAGCAGCTCCACAGGTTGGAGAGAGTCCATTCCAAGTGACTCAGATGGTCTAAACCCCTTCCAGGTGGCTCAAATGGTTTCTGCTCCTTCCAGGCAGGTCTAGCCTCAGACTCCTCCCTTGGCTTACCTGGGAGTCATCCTCAGCTGCCTTTACTATTTACTCTTGGGAAGGAGGGGCCTAGTTAATCTGGTCAGTTCCAGGGCCTTCCTGAAGCTGCTTTGAGTTGTTACCTTCTGGCTTTAGCATCTTCCCTGTGGGATGGAATGGCTCCATTTTGGAGGAAACTCTTCCATAACAGGCAGCATTTCGTTTCCCGGGGTTGTGAGGGACAAACGGCTCCTGCGGTTAGGTCTTTATAAGCTGGGATACCCTTTGACTAGTAATGGATAGAGGTCATCTTTAACCCCATGGGGTGTGAGAGTTGATCAGCTCCTCTCCTGCTGTGTGAGTTTAAGGTACCTCACCTTCAAGGAGTCAGGAAAGAGACTTCTTTGCTGAAGGGAAGAGGGGTACTCACTTCGCCTGGCCATTGCTGTCCACCCCTGCACTGCCTACTAGCTGCCTGCCTCGAGCCTGAGTCCAAGGGCCTTGTTCTTACCTCTCATGAGGCTGCCCTGGGCTTGCCTGTGTTAGATCTGTGCTGCTCACGTCACCGCCATGTACGTCACCCCATCTGCAGCTACCTCCCTACCCTCATAGCTGGTTTCATAATTCTCTCTGCTACAGGGAAATGACAGGCACCCCACTGAGAGCCTGCCTGCCTGCGAGGCTGCACTGTTTTTCCCCTTCAAAGAGTCTGACAGGCTTCCTAGCGCCTCAGACTCTAGAAGATTGGCAATCACCCTCATGCGACTTTCCCAGTGGAAGTTTCCCAGGCTCCCCCTAAGCACCCAGATCCCAAGCGATCAGAGCCTTCGGGTGACACGTCACAAGTGAGAGGTACAAATTGGGTAAAGGGTTCAATATTTCCCTTTCCCCTGCTGACTGGGAATGGCTGGGGGGCCTTCCTCAACTCTCTGAAGCCCCTAAGAAAGCTGCTTTGTGGGCCTGAATTCTCTTCATAACTTCCACTCTGCATGACATCAGTAAGTCTTTAATGAATCTAATAACCCTACCATGGTGTTGGGGACTCTTCTACAATTTCTGACCCCAAAAGACAACCTTCTTCGAGTCCTCCCCTCAGAATCTTCATTGAGAATTTCTGCTCTTCCGGGTTTCTTGTTTTTTAATTTGTTCATCTTTGTTTTATTGGTATTTTGCCTGTGTGTATCAGGGTGTTGGATGCTGGGGTTAGACAGTTGTGAGCTGCCATGTGGGTGCTGGGAACTGAACCCAGGTCCTCTGGAAGAGCAGTGTGGCCACATGCTCCTGTATGAGGCATGGCAAGCAGAGACAGGACCATTTTGTGAGCCCAGGTTCCATGAGAGACCCTGTGTAACAGGAATAAGTGGAGGATGGTAGAACAGGACAATCAAGGTGTGCCCTAAGTCTGTCCCTGACTTCCACATGTGCATACATGGGCGGGCACACACACAGAGAGAGAGAGAGAGAGAGAGAGAGAGAGAGAGACAGAGAGACAGAGAGACAGAGAGACAGAGAGACAGAGAGACAGAGAGAGAGAGGATCGGAAAGTTCAGAACAGGAGGAGGCAGATTTCTTCCACTTCTAGAACTTGATTAGCGTCTTAGCTGGCCCTAAGGTCCCTTCCCAGTGGGTCACCCTAAGACCCATGGACCCTGGCTGTTATGCCTAAGAGGAGTCATCCTGAGGTTTGGATGTGGACAAAGATGGTGTAAAGAGGATTTACACCACCCTCATACTTTCTACCCGACCCTGGGTCCACTACAGACCCTGAAGGAAATCCACAGGGGCGCCGGAATCCTGTGAGGCATCCCCTACCCGGGGACAGAGCCACGGCCCTGGTTTTCTATGGCCCTGTTGCTACACCACTACAGACCACACAGGGTCTGGGACCATGTTCTGTAATTTGTCATGCTCTTGAGTCTGGTTGGTTTGTCCCCATCACTTCAAGCCTCAAGCAGACTCCTGGTGTGTGTGTGTGTGTGTGTGTGTCCGTCCAGACCCTGAATGTCAGGGATGCTTCTATGGTTTCTGTTGGGCTCACACTGAACCCTGGGGAATGGACTCAAGCCCTGACACGTGTGGCTGGTGCTTTCCCACTGAGCCATCTCACCAGCCTCAATACTGTTTCTCTCAAAATGCGAGCGACCCGGAGTCACCGAGAAAGCAGAAAAACAACACACAAACGTCTTGACACTACATTCCTTCAAAAGCGTATTTACTGAGCACTCTCTCTGTCGGGTACAGTGCAAAGCCCCAGGGCTGTGACTGGGTGGGGGGGTGTAGGGTGGCCTCTTTACTGAGTTCTCAGCCTGCTTACAGAAGACATGTGGTTGGCACCCTAAGGTGCTCAGGCATCTGTGGCCCGAAAGAAGAAAGGCTCGAAGACTCTGGAAGTGTCAGCTGAGGGAAATCAGGGGAACGTTCCAGAACCTACTATAGCAGAGCTACTGCAGTAGGGCTAGGGCTGGGAGGAGATCTGAACACCACCATCTGCACACACTACATGTATGTGTCCAAAGGAAGGCCACACAAGCTGTGCCTGGTCCCCAGGTCTGAAAATGAGCATAAGATTTACCTCCAACTGCAGCAGGGATCCCGCAGAATATTCTACTTGTCACTTATTCACAGCCGGGCTCAGTGATGTCATGATGGATTCTGCTCACAGGAGAAGACGTGGCTCCCCAGGTGAGCATCCCTGTCCACAGCCACACAGCCGTAACCTTGATGCCTGCTTTAACCTGTGATACCCAGCCCTCATCTCACACATGCCAGCCTTACAGCCCTGTAGATGCCAGTGGCCACAAGAGCCTTTCTAGCCTAAACGCCGTTTCAGGCGTTCAGGCACTGAACATGTGCTCCCAACAGGACTGCAGCTCTTGCCTGGAATTCCCAACCCTCTCCACAGAAAGCAAGTATGGAGTGTGACATCTTCTCCAGCAGCCTGTGGGCCATGTGATCCTGGTAACAAGTTTCACAGCTACCTGCCATCCTCATCCTTTGGCTGCCACTGTATTATTTTGGCTGAGGTAGAATCAAACCCTTGACAGGGAGGATGGGTCCTCGGTCCATGCCCTCATGCTCGTTCAGAAGAGATGCCTGCCCTTCCCGGGAACACCAGCCGCCAGGTCCTTGCATGATTCTGAATGCTTGGGTGCTGTTTGTATGTTGTTTGGGGGCTAGGGGTGGCTCGCACAGCTCCACTCAGAGGACTCCTAGAGAAGAGACGACAGAGTAAAAGGAGTGGGAGCCAAGGCCTTCGCCACTCCAAGGCAGGACGGCAGAGGTGGGAAAGGAGAGTGGGCCTTTTCCCACCCAAGGCCTGGGAGAACAAGGTGAAAGAAGTCAGTACTTGCACAGGATGGCCTGTGACAGAACCTGCTGGTTTGCCAGGGCAGGGTCTGGCCAGCCCTGACAAAGCTGTATGTGTGCTCCGTGCGGGCTGGCTCCAGCCTGATGCTGAGACTGGGCTAGTCCTTGTTACTCCATAGGGAAGCGTTGTGTCACGCAGTGTGCTGTGGCCTCCTGTCCTGGATAAAGAGTAGGCATGCATGAGGCCACTGGGTTCTTGTAACGTCAACCCCGTGGAGTTCTCTGCCCCTTGAGCTATTAGCCCCCCATCCTTTTCCTATACCTCAAACAGATGGATCGGCTACCCCGGTCTTCATTTACAAACATGAACTGCTTTCTAGCCATCAGCCTAACTGCTCTGGGGCATGAGCACTTGCAGCTCCCAGCAGTCCTTAGCCCTGGGCTCAGGCAAGATTTCCTTCATCTCACCCTTCCCCCTCCCCCTCCCCCTCCCCCACGTGCCTGAGCCCTGTAGTCTTTACCCCAAATACAATCGTCACATCAAGAGAAGAGAGATGAAGATTCTGGTCCTCGGTTCTCCCAAATGAGGTCGTGCAGAAACACAAGCCTGGCCTGCAGGTAAGCCTGAGCCATGGCTTGTAAGCCCCTGCTTTCGGTTATCCACAATGAAGTCTGTGTCAGGCCAGAAGGCCATGGCGACACTTTGTAGCACATGTGAAGGAGTGACTTGCCACAGTTTGCTGTCCAAAGAAAGTCCCAGGGTTTCCAGATGATAGCTGCAGAGGCTTTACTGGGCAGCACGGGCCCAGAGTGGCTCAGGACCCCACTGAACCCCTATGTAGTGCCTGGTCTGGAGCCCTGGGGCTGAGCTGCTGGGGCTGGCTGTCCAGAGAGACACAGGCCTGGGTACCTAGCCTGGAGGGTTCCAACTTGAGCTGGCTCAGGTCCAGGAAAAGGTCATGGCATCTCTGGTCTTGTGGGCTGGCTGGAGAGGAGAGGTCATAGACAACGGCTCTGTCGGGATTGCTGCTCATCTGTTTCTTTTGCACAGTGTTGGGACCCCAAGCCTGAGGCTTCCAGAAAAGCCCACTGCTTCTATCCTGTCTGGGAGAACAGCTGTCTGGATAGATTTGCAGAGCTGCCATATGGGCCACACAGCCTACAAGCATGGGCCCTGGATCAAGAGTACTTCCCCCATGCCCCGGTCTTAAGGGGTCTTGAGCATGCCGCAGGTTCCCAGGTGTCCCGAGCTCCTTCTGAGAGCTAGCACTGGTGGCAGGGTTTGGAGCTTTGTTTTTCCTGGAAATGCCTGTTGTCACGGTAGCTGCAGAGGAGGACCGGCCTTCAGAGAGGTCTTGTGTTCCTTCCTCAAGAGAGCCATCCTTTGATGGGACATGAATACCCCTTGCAGGCTCCCCGTGGGCCTCACATTCTCTTACAAGCAAGTCTTTGGTTCCCGGGTGTGCCCAAGACTCCTGTCTTCTGGATGCCAAGCATGCCATGGCCTTGCCCATATCAGAGACCTGGTCTCCCTTGCCTTCCAGGTTTTCTGGTGGCCCCCTGAGGACTCTATGGGGGTCAGGCGGGGCAACAGGCTCTCTAAGGACAAGGGCAGGGGTAGGGGCAGGAGCAGGGGCAGGGGCAGGGGCAGGGGCGGGTGGGGTCCGGCGCAGCCAGTTGACAATGCCCATGGTTATGGCAAGTTCTGTGTCACAGAGCTTCAGCAGACATTCCTTACCCTTCCAGGTACTCTGCAGGAAACCCTGGCTGAGCAGGTCAGGGCCTGGAGCTGGGGCCAAGTTCTCCTCCGCTCCCACGTAGAAACTGCACATAGACAGTGGGGTCCCCAGGGCGGGCCCTGAAAGACTCTCAGACACACACAGGTCATCGTCCAGGATTGGGCCAACAGGGGCCTCGCTGGGGTCATAGAAGAGTTCATAGAGGGCATCCCCACTGTAGCTGTCCCTAGGGAAAGTGGCTGCAGGTGTCCCTGGACTCACAGCTTCCTTTTTCTCCTCCTCAAGGCCCGGTGAGAAGGAGTCGTAGTACCCTTCATCGCTTGTAGACACAGATTCTGGCTGTTCACTTTTGGGGGTCCCTGTGTCTATGGAGCTGGCTTTGGAGCCACTAGGGGGACCCCTACAAGGAAACAAGGGCAGTTCAGCTAACCCAGAGGCATCTAGCTTGAGCTGGTCTGGGTCTGTCCCCTGGGGACTCATGAGCCACGGGCCCAGCAGGGCGCGCTGCTGCTGTTTCACAGAGCGATTCACGCTGTCCCAGAACTTGGCGAAGTCTGATGCTTCGTTCTGCGCAGGTGATGCCTGCTGTTCCGTGCTATCCTGGGAGGGACCGCGGGGAGTCTTGCTGTCCAGAGCCTGGGGTGAATGGGCTGGGCTCTCCGGACCTTCTTTCAGCTCCACAGATGGTACCGAGCTCCCATCCGCGAAGATCTCCCCACAACCTGTCAGGGAATCGAAGCTCTTGAGTGAGGCCACATCCTCACACAGGGCGCTGCAGAGGTCAAAGGGTGAGTCAGGCAGAAACTCACTGTCAGAGAGGTCCTGGCATAAGTTGTCTAGCCCCAGCCCCTCGCCCACCGACAGGAAGGGTTTGCCTTGCTGCTCTGCCGATGCCGCACCCAAAGGCACCCCAGGGGACGACGGGCTCTTCCCCTTGGCAGAGAGTGAGGCCAAATTCTCAGTCTTGCTCCTGCGGATGTGAAATAGGTTTCGAAAGCACTTCTTGGATCTCTTCAGGGAAATCCTTTTCCGTGGGATGCTCTTAGCCACCGCTGGCACAAAGGGCATCTGGGGTACAAAGTGTCGGTAGTCAATCATGCGCTGGCCCCCAGGGGCCTCTGGGAAGCTCATGCTGCCCACCATCTGCCCTGAGGTGCCTGCCGCCTTCGCAGCCCCTGGTACACTGTCATGAGTCTTGCTCTTCCGCACCAGCTTGAAGGTGTTTGCACAGACGGGCACGGGACCCCCTTCAGGATCAGACTGAGTCTCTTTGTTGGGGCACTGGCTGTATTCTTGAACACAGGGAGTAGTTTGGGAGCTCTTCTCACCACAGGCTCTCGGCTGCCCTCCCAGCGAGAGTGACCAAGGAGCCGTGTCCTCCTTGGCTGGGGCAGGCTGGGGCGGGTCTATGAGTTTCTCGTGGGAAACCTGCACGCTAGATTTGATGAAGGTCTTTCCCCTTGTCAACTCCATGTTGCAAGTGTTCTGGCCACTGTGGAGGAAAGTAAAGGGTGGTTACTGTCTACTGTCAGCTGGGCTGGCTTCACAATCATCATGAAAACACTTCTTTGGGTATGTCCCTGAGAGAAGTCTGTAGATGAGGTGAATTGAGATGGAGAAACGCATGCTGAGGCCCCAGAGTGAACGAAAAAGGGGACAAGGGGACCAAATGGGGAGTAGCAGTCAACTCTTTCTGCTTCTAGATTGCGTGACCAGCAGCTGCCTCTTGCCCCGCCACCCGGATGGATTGTATGTATCCCTGAAAACTGTGAGCCAAAGCACACCCATGCTTAAGTTGCTTTGGGCAGGCATATCGTTACTGCAACAAGAAAAGTAATTAATTCTGTATCCGAAATGTGTAAGGTCTGTGACCTCTGCAAGGCCTGCTCACCGGCGCTCACACAGCTTGTGGGTGCTTTAGTCCTATGGGCTCTTCCATGAGGGAAAGAAGAGAGGAGGGAATGATACACCACCACGCTGCCCTACGACTGCTTTTACAGAGGGCCAGATCTGTTAAGTCCCAGGGCTAAAGGAACATGGTCAGAACCAAAATGAGAGGTGACTGGGGTTTGGAACGGCCCAATCCCTGCCTTTCAAGCACTCTCTAACCTCACCAGTCAATGCAGATTCCCATTTCCAGGCCCGGTAATTGAGAAATACTTCCTCTATCTGTAGCTATTTCTTCCCAACTGGAACGTTCTTCTGGGGATAGAGGTTGGGGGCAAGAGGCTCCTTAAGCAATAGGAAGTAAACAAAGCCCACAACATCCTGAAATTTACAAGGTACACACACACACACACACACACACACACACACACCCCACAGATGATATGAGCAGTAAAACTGCTGGCCGTCTCTGAACAGATGAGCTGCCTGCAAGTTGTGCAAGCCACTGTGGAGCCACCCTGACTCCTGAAAGCCACTCCAATGACCTCACTGATTCACCAAGTTAGACTGCAGTGGAATACTTTATTGGGTCTGTCTTGAGTGCTCTAACTGGGGCGAACAGATGTTCATTCCACTCTCCCTAAGAAAAGTCACACAACACCCTTACCCATCTTCGGGAGGAACACAGCAGCCTTCTGAGAACATTGGAGGACTCAATTAACTAGGCTGCCTCCCAGGCCTGAGGCAGCCGACTATCTGTGGGAGGACCAGGCATCTGCGGAGAAAGGTAAGACTCAATCTGTACATAGGCCCTCAAATGAGAGACAGCCAAGAATTTCAGACTTTCCAAAGCATGAGCCTGAGTAGGAGAGAGCCTCCTCCTGGCAGCAAGGCATGGGGCATGTCCCAGAATATCATGGACCAGAGGGGCAGGCAGCTGTCACTGACAGGCATCGCCCGGAGTCTATCTGGAGATGGTTTCTGATTGTCAGGCTGAGTTCATGAGGGGAAGATGCTACAGGTGGCTTTGGGAGTCCCAAGGGTGTTTGGTGGCGAATGTGCAAGTGACTTGATTGCTCTGTCATGGCTGAGCCATATTCCAGGTTCACCAAAGCATCCCTTGAATCTTCTGGAGAGTGGGACATTAAAGAGGCTGGTGAGGTTGGCCCAGCAATATCGATGAAGGGAGGGGTATGGCAAGAGGCTGACCTAAGGGGCTGAGGCTGGAGCAAGGGGAACGCTGCTCTGAGCGTAAAGTTACAGGGTCTTCCAAAAGAAGAGACCAAGATTCAGCAGAAAGCGGCCAGAAAGGACTCCCGACACTGGAGGCCCAGGGGCCTGCACCAGGACCTGGCTTAACATCCTGCCCTTAAATGCAGCGGACCCCAGCAAGTAATGGCAAAGCCCGAGCATGGCTGGAGAACCATCTGAGCTCTTCCCCCAACCCCAGCAGAAACGCTTTCTGCCTGCCCCCGCATCCTTTCTTTGGCAGTAGCCTGATACCGAAGCTGAATCCCTTCCCTCTCCGGGATTGCTCTGTGGTCCAGCCCTGCCTTTGTTCACCCCAGCCCCAGCCTGTGAGGGGGCCCAAGGATGTACAGCCCTCCAATGTCCCCCCAAGACGCCTTCTGGTTGCCTCCAGATAGCAACGTGACAGTCCTCAGCTGACAGTCAAGGGTGGCCTGAAGTGCCCCGGCACGCAGCTCTGAACGGGCACGGGGCCTACGGCCACTGTGCTGGCGCAGTCAGCATCACAAGGACTCACAGGCAAGCTGACCGAGCTGCTGCCTGCTCACACCTGTGGGTAGCATTTCCTCCCCTCTAAGTGACATCTGGGGCCTTTGGCTGGAGAACAAGATGACAAGTGGTCTGCATGCTCACACGAGCCACAAAGCCTAGGCTTGGCCCTCCGCCTACTTGGCTCCTCTAGTCACAGGACACTGGCTTTTGGGTACAGTGCCTCAGATGATATGTTGGCTTTCCAGCCTACTGGGAGATGGCATGGCACGGTGCCACAGGCATCATGGTATCTGTTCAGCTTGCTGGGAGATGGCATGGCAAGGTGCCTCAGGCACAATGGTGGCTGTTCAGCTTGCTGGAAGATGGCAAGTACCCAAGCTTCTCTTACCCTGGACCTGCAGATTTCTACTCAAAACATTCCACCCCACACATTCCTTTGCAGGTCTGTTGGGCTCTGATGATGCACATGGCAGAGGGTTTATTATGCAGGGCCTGACACTTGCCCATGGGTAACACCCACCTAACCAAGCAGAAAGCTTAGCACATACTCTGGTAAGGAACAAACTACTGTAGTCTTCACTTTACAGAGTATAAATTCAGGGCCTAGAGAAATGGCTTAGGGGTTAAGTGCACTTGCTGCTCTTCCAGAGGTTCAGAGTTTGGTTCCCAGCATCCACACCATTGCCTATAACTCCCAGCTCGGGGGACAGGGGCAGATACAAGCCTCTCTTCTGGTCTCTTCTGGTAACTTCACTCACATGCATATACTCATACATGCACATATTAAGAATAAACCTATTTTTAAATTTCAGTGCCAGGAAAACCAGTCAACTGACTCATCAGTGGTAAGGTTACGATTTGAACCTGTGAATCAATGACTTGAGATCTCTACCTCGCTCCACTTCATCCCTCATCACTCAGTAGCCAAGGCTGGCCTCAAATTTGTCATGTTTCTGCCTCAGCCCCTGGAGTGCTGGAATTACAGGCTGTGTGAGAAACCTTAAAATAGATTAATGAATGTATTCTCTTGAGGAATTTTGGAAAATACAATGAAGGTTAAGGCTGCAGGCTGCAAGGGTAACTCAACTAAATTTAGAAAGATTATAATTGAAAGCAGTGCAACTCTAATGGAGATATCCATTATGAGATATCTAGTTTACTCATGCTTTTCAATGTTTGGGGGGGGTGTATTATAGTTACTGTACCCCTGGAAATAGTTCCATCAGGCCACATAAAGATTAGTTCACTGTATGTAAAAGTTTGCACCTGGAAGAATTAAACTGTTTGGACGGAGAGCTCTTTCAGTGAAGCTTACTGGTTTCCAGCTCTCAGAGTGCCCAACTGAGCTAAAATCATTCTGAACTTAGAATGTAATCCTCCCAGTACAATAATACAAAGAATTGGACTCCATTATAGCGATGCGGACAAGACTGCTCTGGGTTTAATTGCACTCTTTATATAGTGAGAACAAGTGGTAAAGTTCATACCAGTACAATGGGGACATCAATACTGGGCAGTGAGCTGTCACTTCAGTCAGTTTTCACGTTAGAATGTTTAATCCAGCCTGTCTCTTTGGAAATGCAGATGGGAGGCAGGCTAAGCAGTCACCTTCCACAGCAGCTATCAGAAAAGAGTGGAGTCTGTTTGGACGGCCAGATGCTACACCAGCACTGCCTGAGGGCAGAGGCTAAATGTTCATAAGTTCTCAGCCGGAAAAATGCACACTCGGTTGTGTAAGCCTGTGGCTAACAGCCTGTCAGTAGTAATTCATGACAGGTCCTTCCCCAATGCATGCTGTATCTGCATCTCTCTTTCCAAGGGTCTTCTCCCTCATGGTCCCCAGAGCTCAGCCACCACAGATTTTTTTTTTCCTACTGCTTGGTATTTCTCTAGAACAAGGTTTCAAGTTTTTTATAGCCCAGCACCTCAACTGTAGCAGGCAGTTATATACACTGTTGCATAGTGTATGTGGGGGGTGTTGGGGAGTGATACTTTGTGAGCATGGGGATCCGAGGTCAACTTCAGGTGTCAATCCTCAGAAACCATCCTCTTTGCTTTTGAAACACTCCCACTGGGGACCCAGAGCTTGCCGAGCAATCGAGGCTGACTCTCAACAGTGAGCCCCAAGGATCCACCTGTCTCCCTGAGTGCTGGAGGTTGAAGTACTTGTTTCTTATGTGATTCCTGGGCATTGAACTCAGGTCCTCCCGCTCACAGAGAAATTCTAACAAAAGTTGCATTGCTCATTTGCACAAGTCTGTGCGCATGCACTAAATTACATGTGTGGAGGTCAGAGGACAGCCTGCAGCAGGCTCTTCTCTCCTTCCCCTGTGTGGGGCCCAGGAATCCAACTTGGGTCACCAGGCTCGGTAGCAAGTGCTTTCACCCACTGAGTCATGCCAGAGGCCCCCATAGCAAGTCCTTTACTGACCAAGTTTTCTCCCCAGTCTCCATGAAAAGTCTTCATGGCTCAGCTCTTCAACTCTGGTTGACACTACTTATTTAAATGAGCTTGAAACACCTTGGCCATACGCTTCATATGATGAAACAGCACGCTTTTCAATTTCCTAAATAGGATGCTGACCTGGAAATTTTAATTCCACAAATGCAATTTATCCTGATAATTTTCTAAGACAGGCCCCAATAGCACTAAAGCTAAGCCTCTCATCTAGGATGAACCTTCGAACTCCCATGAGATCAGAAACCATTCAGTGTCTTTATTTAATCATTTCTGTTCCAAGGGTGTGCTGCTTAAATGAAAACCTAAAAGTCAGCGGAAGGCATTCAGTCAAAAGATACGGGAAGCATATTCTAGCCAGTGGACACGCCCTGCAAAAGGTCCTGAGGACAA